ACGCGCACGCCATCAACGGACCACCACCTCCTTTCCCCAGCTCCCGCGCAGGCCCGGACGAGAGGGATGTTGATGATGTAGGGGTGACCAAGTCGGGTTGGGAGAAAGCACCGCCAGTGGATTACGACGTTTGGAAGCAGGGCACCGTCGTGCCTACAATGCCTGAGCCTACGTACACTCAGGGACTCTATCCAGATATGCAAAGGGACTCGGGGGAGAAGGCCCCTTTCAAGCTATTTTGACGACCGTCGTATACCGTAGAGGGATGATGGATCCCGGTCGTATCCTTTGTCTGGTGGAACAATCACGGAATAATTATTGGTTCAATGATATAGATTCTCGATGATGTCTGAGGGTAAGGCTGAAAAACGAGGCCTGAAGGGACTCCTGCGGGGCTTAATTCGTGCAGGGGCTCACTCGATTATCTATATTATTCACTTTCGCGAGCGCCATATACACGGTTCCTTTGTCGCCACGTCCCCCTGTTCTTAGTACCTTTTCTCTTGTATTGGTCAATATACCCGCAGCTGCTAAGGTTTCGAGTTTGTCTACTCGAACTCGCTTATTCTTGCTTATGCTGTCGCAGCTTGCTTACCGTCATTCAACCAAATAAACTCGACCTACCGATTAAGGTGGAGAATTCCTATGGAGAGATGGTCAGGAAGCGTATCGAAACGTTCGTCATGAGGGGTCGATTGATTAACAGAAGACCGCCTAGCGGCTTGAATTCAACACACTTCTACTACGGAATCTACTAGAATGCAAAGTGCCTGTTGGGGGAAGGCGGAGGCGAAAAGCTGTTTGAGTCGCTAATAGTAGCAGTAGAGATGGCACAAATTGTGGGCAGAACGAGCTGTCATTTTGGATCGAACAGGCGACGAGTCTGGGCTGCTACTACTCGAGAGGATGCACCGACTTAGCAGGCCGGCAGCAAGAGGAATGCCGGACCGGAATTTCACAGGATGGTCGAAAGAGGCATCTGTGGCTGTGCAAAAGGCCACGCGCGACCTCTTACACTTCTTCACTACCATCCCATACACATACGCAAAGATTCCCCGCCTGAGATACCTCAACGTTCCTAAACACACATAGTATGAGCGCTGCTTCTCAAAACACTCTAAACGCTCCCGTGTTCGGAATTCCCGACCCGCTAGACGAGTTCGGCCACGACGGCGGCTAATTCTACCGCTGCTACGACGCGCTCGCGGACGAAATTGATGAGGATATGACGAAAAGACTGAAGGAACAGTTGGATGGCATGCTCATTTTTGTGACTGATTGCTAAGGGATACCGACATAAATGATTTGCATCGTGCTCATTGCACTCCAGGCTGGTCTTCTTACAGGCGTCAATTCCGCATTCTTAGCTCTTACCCCTCCTCTTCTGTCCTCCGACCCACCCGATGACACTAACGTGCTGCTTGCGCAGAATAACGCCCTTCTACTTCAACTAGTCGGAGGGAGGAACGATACCATTTCCATAGATTCCACTCTACCCTCAGCAGCGTTTTCTCCTTCCCGCGACATACTCACAATCAACGCACTCTTCGCACTCAGTTTAGCATTTGCAATTGTTTCATCATTTCTGGCCGTCCTTGGTCGCCAGTGGCTCGTCTACTACCGGAAGCGCAGTGGTGGAGGTCCTGACCGCCAACGATGGGAACAGCTCAGACGGTTCCTCGGAGCTGAACGATGGCGACTCGAGGCCATCTTGGACGACGTGCTCCTCTCTCTCCTTCAAATTGGGCTCATCATCTTCTGCGCATCCTTCATCATTTACTTTCGTCATTTGAGTCCCAGAATCGCTATGGTTGTTGGGATACCCGTATTTGTCGGGCTGGCATTCTTTATTGGGAGTGCACTCTGCACCATGTGGGACAGGTTCTGCCCGTTTCACAGTCCTCTTTCGCACCTGATACTCTGGGCGACCCCTATTTTGTCCCCGATATGGAGGGTTGTGCCGCAAACTCAACTCCCCAGATTCAGTCTATTTGAGGGCCTCTCATTGAGACGAACAGAGGAAAAACCCGTGCCATTTGTGTATCTGATGACCCTATCACATTGCTGCATGCAACAGCAAACATTTTGGCAATTAGAAGCCCCGTTGAAATGGAACGACTTTGGGGTGAAGCGACTTTTCAGCAGCGATTTTCGGAGTTAGTTCGAAATTCCTACGACTCAATGTTGCAGCTGCGGAGCTACAATGGTAATTCCAAGGGTATCGCAGAATCCGCCAGGCGGCTATACTGTAGCGCCGCTGCACACATTATCCTCACACTTGATACTCAATGGGATGACTTCAAAGACCTGCGAGGGGCAATACGCGATTTCAGCGCCACAACGGTACTATTCCAAGCTCATTGGTCCCGAATTCCCCTCCCAATTTGATCTGGGCAAATCTAGGGATTTCCATCATCTGCTACAAACCATCTTACGAGGAATTCAAGTCCATTTGTAATTATCTGGTTGTGGGCTCCGGTGCCCTAGCAGGTTGTTCGGATCACAGGCTTTTCTCTGTTTACTCTTGGATAATCTCCCAGCTCCCTGTGCTCCAAGACATAAAGGAAGGCGCACTCGGAAATCTGAGAATGGCATACAAAGGGTCTGTAATTCACGCTTGTGGTGGTCGAAGCCAGGTTTCGCTAACTGACGGCACTTCTCATTTCTCGCACTAGGGATAGGAATGGCATTTTGGAGGGCTTGAAAGCGGCATTTGTGGTCTTGTTACACACGAACTATAGCGGAATGCTGGACTGTGAGCGCGTGTTGATCAATATGCTGCGTGCGTAGAGCGAATGGTGGTCGATAACCAGATCAACTCGAACGTTGGGCTCGAAGACTACTTCAAGCTCCTAGAACGCTGCGAGACATTCATGCGTGACTCCAGACTCCCTAAGGCAGCCACCGAGGTAGGAAGGGACCTTCGGATAGCGGTCGCACGACTTTGGATGCGCAAGTGGGCGGCACAGGCTGTGAAATACCGGTGCGTCCTTGGATCTGATCTTGTCTGCTGAATCTCACAGGCCTTCTTCGTTTAACAGGGTTCTAGAAAACTGCTTCAGCGTTTTAGAATCCTATCTAGCCAATCTCAGAAATCAGCATAGAGCTCGGTCTGTTTATCTTGAAGATATCGAGGCTTTTGCGGGCATTTTACCCCGTTCTGCGGTTATTTCTATGTCACTGGTCCTTGAGACTGCAACCCACTAGGCGTACTGCAATTGGCGAGATGTTTAATACATTAGTCTCGGATGTCTGTAACTTCTCCGAGAAAATGCAGGTATGGCCTCCCTTCATTGATACCTTTTCTATAATCATCTGACCCCGACGGAATTCTATAGAAAAAAGCTAGGAAAGTCCGAGATCGGACGAACACTGGTGCCACTGGCACGATGAGCCACTGCTAATCAAATCCAAGTATACTATTTTGTGAGTGACTGCTTTCTCCTGTCAATATTGTAGTACCGCGGACAGTAAACGGGATGATGTTTGGCTTGATTGATTGATACGACTGTTGGAACAGATATTAGTGCGCTCCAGTCACGGTTAGCGGAGACAGCCTATTCGTCTCTTACTTGGAATTGATGATTGTTCCTTTGGAGGCCTTTGCTTTCAGTCTGCGGTCTCGATGTACTGGTCTTCTGCACCTGTGGACTGACTTGTACTTCTCGCTCATTGTTCTTCGATCTATTGACAGCACATCTCGCACGATGTGTGGCCCATTGGCTTATGTACGGTGCGATTGAATGGGAAATGCCGTGGCTGGATGATGGTATAAGAAACGAAGACGTAACCCCGCAGTAGGTAATTGTGTGACGATGCGTTCTTGCATACGCCATAAAATTGGAAACGGTGTTGCAGTGTCCGCAACGGTTTTCTAGAGTGCTTTCTTTTTTTTTAAAAAAAACGGAGTTTCGGACAGGATAGGTCTATTGCGAAACCCCCCTTCAGCAAAACCCCCTTCCGATCGGAAGGGGTGCTGACTAATTCAGCAGCTCGGGTGATGTGCCGGACGGAGTTCCCCAATGACTGAAAGGGCTCTTGCATTGCCGTCGTCACGTCAAATGCAGGGGACCAAGCCACCATCGCCAAGGAACACAACGTCCCGACCCGCACATTGTCCGAGTCCATCACTTAGTGGTATATCACTGATTTCGATAGTTCTCATAGTAATTGTAAAGATACTTAATCCATCACTTAGAAGCAGCTAATAGTCTGTACTAGGCACGCTAAGATAACATATTGAGTACATATGTCAGCAATGAGACCAAGATGGCTCTAGTATGAGTAGGGATCCGATGAATTCTGTTTATACTCATTATCACAATGACAGACCTGACTAGCGAGGTACAAGGTGGCTTATTTACATTTGATCACTGTTGGCCTTGCTGTTAGCCGTCGTGGGTATCAAGGCTGTCCGGGACTGCCCAATGTGGTCGGCCCTGGCACTGGTGGCTTGGTTCCCTGCATTTGATGCGACAACAGCAATGCAAGAACCCTTTCAGTCATTGGGGAACTCCCTCCGGCGCATCACCCGAGCTGCTGAATTAGTCAGCATTCCTTCTGATCGGAAAGGCTTTCGCGAGGGTTTCGCCGAATGGGGCTTTCGCAATAGAATAATCCTTTCGGACAGATTTAAAAAAGAAACAATTCGCTATTACAGCTTAATTAAACACGCTGAGCGGCTTTAACCAGTGCCATTTAATCTGCAAGGGTTGACTGGAATGTGACATCCCTTCCGAGGAACGCCGGAGGGATTCCTTCGCCAGAGTTATTTTAGGCTGAACCTCCAAGATGAAGAAAAAGAGCTTGCCGTGAGCCTAGATCGAACCAGTGCAAAAGCCGACATGGGTTTACAGCTTAAAACAAAGAATTTCACCCCTTTGACTAGTCTAGGGAATCCGCTGGGGTCCGCTGGTGGAATGTGACATCCCTTTCGAGGGCGGCCCCGGGGGGTACTCTAAATTGTGGCCCCCCCCAAGAATGGGATAAAAAAAGGAATTTGCCGTCAGCCTGGATCGAACAGGCGACCTGCAGATTGTACGTTACGTAATGCTTCAGTCTGTCGCTCTCCCAGCTGAGCTATGACGGCTGTCGGGCAAGATCTCGCTAAAATTTGTCGTCTCCGCAATTCTGTCCAGCCGATCTCAAAAGCACCCGTTTTGCACAGAACATGCTGTAAACTAAAATCCATAGCGGTGAGAGGCATTGCCTATTAGCTGACAATGATACACGAAGACTGGAGGCTTCCTACTCAGAGGGGGGGGGGCGTGGTCCGGCTTCGATCGAACGCCAGCCGTCTAGAATTGGAGGCGACTTTCCTTTGAAGGACCTCCACTAGATCAGAAGAGAATAATACTTTGCGACATCTCCAGACTCTCAAACAGGATATCTTACTCGCCTTGGCCTCGGTGGTCCACGCGGTGGCAGGGGGCGCTGGGGATCTTGCTATGGATCACAAGTTTACCACGGTATCCTTATTACTTCCTCCTTCTGACTTTGATATCTATTCTTTAGCTCCCCTGGGTTGTACGGCATTGATCTGGTCTATTTTCTTTCGCTCACAGCGCCAACTACCGGGAGAATGTAGATATCCTTTCATATCCTCTGGTAGTTACAGGACATACGCAAGTGCAGATGCAAATGCGGATTTGCCGACACCTTCCAGCTTCAGACGCAGAATTCACACTAAACAGGAAGTTCTAAGTGATTTTATAAGCTAGAGAAGCCGGATCTAATAGGATACTTCTGAGTCGATTTAGCCGGGAGTCATCGACTCACCCCGGGCCGTCGAAAATGAGCCCGTGACAGCCGGTAGGTGTACTAACTGACCTGCAAGACATAAAGACCGTCGTGTATGCTTGCTGGTAATGTCTTGAGATCTCGGGGGAGGGGGACTCTCGAGCGTGGATCCTAAATAGGAACTCTGGGCGGCGCCAAAAAGCAAGCCCCGAATCCTCGGAAAGAACGGCGTTCCCACCAGAACCTGACGTACTTCCAACGAAGCGTCCAATATTGATTTGGGCAATGGAAAGAAAAGGGCACTCATGCTGTGGCTTCGTCCTTCGACCGTGACGTCACGACGGGCTGCCGGGGACTCTCGCGGTAGAGCTTTTCGAGCCCTTACGCCATCTTACACATTTACGTAAGGTGTGTGGAAAGATCAAAACAGTGGGGATCTTTATCAACCCCTGTCATAAGGACGGATGAGCCGCCAAGGGTGGTCTATTCTTAGTCCACGGCACTGGAAACCCGAAGGCTTGCTGCAATACGCGGCGCAGACTCTCGGCAGGCTTCAGTAGGGGTATGGAGCAGCACCTGGTGATCCGCCATGATAATAAGGACCTTGAGAATAGCCTTGAGACAGTCAAGCCTTCCTTTCAACTCCCGTGCTAGCAATCCATGGACTCCCAACTTTCTCTCGACTCCTTGTCTTCCAAACCAATGTCATCTGATCACATAGTAATCTCTCCACGAACATATCTCTATGCCCGTGATGGCCCCAATGCACGCATTTGGGCGCTTTCCGATGAAGAGGCGCGCAACCGTTCACGAAAGACTCTCGACGAATTGGGAAACTCTCTTGGCACGTTGGCGAGCGTCATCACTGAGAGCACTCCAAACCCATTCAAGACAGAAAGCCGAGACCACTCGGAGTTTCAGCGGATCGAATCCGGTTCTAACGGTCCTCGGCTCGAATCTGGTGAACGGGGCCCTCCGGATTTTTACATGCAGTTCTCAAACGAAAATCCCGGTAACACGTATATTCTTTGGGAAGGGGCTGGGCCGCAGTCTGAAGCATTCCCTAAATCAAAGAGGTTGATGGATGTTAAACCCGAAAGTGTGCAGCAACTTCGTGCTTTGATTAGGGGGTACTGACTCTCGGGTCTAGGCATCATTGGAAACACCTCCGTGTACACCGACACCGGCGATCCCGAGGGTCGAACTGCTCGAATGGACAAGGCAGAAAATAATTGGTTTAGCATGTAAGCATTTAATTCGACGAATTGAGCCCGGCGATCGTTGAGACGGAGCGCATCGCTAGCAACCGCACGCTTGAAGATTTCGACGGCATGCAGTACGTTTGGAAGACTGATCTAATGGACAACCTCAAGGTAAGCATCAATGCCCGTAAAATAGGTATCATACAAAACTAACTTCTCGACGGAAGGCGTTTAGTGCATGCGTTCGGATGGTAGGGAAACGGCGTACTTCCATAGGACTAAGTTCGCTTGGATTGAAATCTTGAGTTCGACAGTGGACACGGAGCAGAACGTAACCTCAACCCGCATGTTCCGTTTCGCAGGGCTTACTTGACATCAAACAGCCGACCAGTAGCTCTCTATGCCACTTGTTGTTGTTCGCAGCCTTGATGAAGTATCAACAATATAGGAAGAGGGGAGGCTCCGAAAGCCCCCAGGAGAAATAAGGCTTGAACCTGGTTTAACAATCGTACGATTAAATGCTGCGGTGTAATAATACAAATGGATGTAGCGAGTTGTGAGAAGCGTCTGTTTGGGGACTATTCAGACGAGATCGTGCCATCGATGACGTAGATAACTCCATTAGATGCCTGCGACGGGCATCGGTTAGTCTTGGAGGGTTCATAGCGCAAAGCGTGTGCACGAACCGGGATTCTTTTCGTCAGCCCAACGGCGCCATCACCCTGCACCAATCCGTAGTTCTTCCATTCTTCGGATTGGCCCGTATGGGTCTTGAGAGCGGAAACGGACCTGCCTTCGAGGAGAGTAGGAATGGGGTTCTCTGATGTGAAGTCGATGTCGTCAACCTGGACAGCTCAGTAGGTTAGCGCGGCGTTCTGAGAAAGCCAAAGAGCAAAACAATCTCACCGGCAGAATGTGCGCGCTCAGCCATCGCTCCACGTTTGCCTTTCCCATTGCCTCCGTTATCTCAATTCCAACGTCTCCGTCTGGGCTTGGCTTAGGAGGGCCTTGATGCGGCTTCCAACCGAGTGCTACTACCGCCTTGTTGGTTGGTAAGAGCAACGTGCTCTTTTCACTTTCGTCCTTCATGCGTTTGCTAATAGTCCCCGATTCTCGAAGATAGTCGAAGAAGATGGAAGACCCCCTCTGGAGCACCAGAAGGTCGAAGACGGTGGGAAGCTTGTTATCGGGTCGAACAAAATCTTCAGGTGCTGTGTCGGAAGCCATTGGCTGCTGGTGGTTTTTGGAAGCGTTTACGCAAGACGAGAGTAGTGGGATTGCGAGGAAAAGAGCTGTGAGGCGACTTGTAAGCATCGTGTCTTCGGTGAGGTGGTGATTGAAAACGAACAGCCTCCTGTGGCGCGGGTTCTGCTTACGTCATCTCGGTTCTTCCGTTCACACCCCAGCTGGGAAAACAACTTCTTCGGTCAACACGCC